AAGCTGGGAGAAGGCACATTTGGAGAAGTCTTTATGTGCCCCTCATCCGTTGTTGGGCCCTCCACACGCCTGCAAGAATCTGAGCCTCATCTCATTTCTGTCCAACTGCCCAGTTCAACAGGTGACCCTATCCAGCCTAGTCATCATTGCGCATATGTCAAAGCAACAGAACTTCCAAATTCATGTATAAGAAATGCAGATCTCGAGAAAGAAGACAAAATTCGAATGGGTGAATTAGTTACTAACACTGTTCCCGTCTTTGAGATGATTGGAACAGTCGATGCAACAAGCCCTAAACCCCTTCCAAGCACACTAAAGGATACGGAAATGGTTGTCATAAAATTGATTCCAATTGAGGGCCAAGTGCTTTTTAATGGCCAAGTACAGAAAACATATTTAGAAGTTCTATCTGAAGCGATTGTTTCGAAGTAATTAACTTCATTTTTTCTAGTTTTTGTTTGTGGTAAATTTCTTATAATTGGCTTGTGAAACAACGAAATTTTTAATAATATTTTTAATGTTTAACTCTTACAGAGAACTTTCTGCTCTCTCGATTATTCCAAATAACAGAACAAATGGTTTTGTCCAGCTAAAAACGTGAGTCTTATTTGTCGTCATCCTTATCGTATTCGTTGGCATACCGTACATGCCAAAAAATTTATTAATCTGACTTTATTCACACATTTTGGTCATGGTTTTTAGTTGATAACTTCCCAAACCTGAAATGTTTCATTTATACGGAGGTCTTCTAGTCGTATAAACTTGCATATAAATGATTTCATATATTTTAGCTCAGTAATTACCAATGACTTATATAGCTATGCCGAAATTTGATTTATACCACCTGAACACCTATTTTTGTTCATGTCAGAATAATCATTTTAAGAAAATTATTTTTATTTAATTATTAACCTACTGCTTCAGTATAGTACTCTGCAAAGTTATTATTCGTTGTATGTCTGATATTTGCTTCCATGACGATATAATTCTATTCTTATTTATGGTTTTCATTCTTTATTGTGTGAACTTATTTTATTTCCTGAATAAATTCTTAAATCTAGTACTTTGTCGGTCTTCCGGCTTCAATATTAACAGTAATAGGAGGCATTGAGGCCTCCTTCAGCCAATATACCAAATGACGCCACTCGTTTAAGACGATATCATCTTCCTACATTACTATTTATTTTACCCTGACAGAACTTTATTTATAAAATTAGCTTGCTAAACACGATTTCTGCTAGGGGGTCTCAATCACAATTAATTTCAGATCACCGCGTCTAACAACATTTAGAGTACAAATTTAGTTTCTTAATTAATTTTTTTCTTAAATCGTTAACCTGACCAGCAATCGCTGCTCTTAGAAGGATAGCGCAGGCTTGAGACATTTGTATTATGTAGATTTTCAATAATAAAGTATTTCTTTTCAAACTCCTACCCCACAATATATATTTTCAGGCTTCATTTAATTCAGGGGTCTTTTCCAATCTACCTCAGACGAGCGTGGGAGCAATATGACAAAGAAAAAACTTCGGAAAACGATAATCCACGTAAGCCATTTAGTCACAGAAATAGGGAGATGTGCAAAATTGCCATATTTTAATTTTGAGGAGGCGAGTGAGTTCCCTGGTAAATTTTGTATAACTTCTTTTTTATATGAATTGCTTGCTGAGGTTGGCATTTATTTTTGTCCAAGAACTAGGGTAACTGTGTTCCTATTCACGAATTGCTGATAGTTTTTTAAATATAATCACATCGAAAATAAGTATTGTCGTCTATTTCACTTGTCTAATTTGCACTATTACTATAAATTTAATTTGGGAGAGGTCTTGTTTGCCTTGAAAGGCATAACTGCCCTGTGGCAAACTGACGCCTGTGGCCATGTAGCGATAGGGTAAAATATTGCTAAGATGCCCATAACACGGTTTCGAATCTGCTTTTGTTGTTGATCAGAACTAGACTGCCCATTCTAGATGAAAATACATTTTTAAAGGCAACGTCATGTGAGATTTAATGGTTGCACGAAGCCTACTCATATCATTGTGGGAAAATTCCGTCTGTCCTTAAATCACTTTAAGTGTCTAGAGCAGTGATTCCCAAAAA